GTGTGCCCAGAGCGTGCAATCCCCTGTGTGCGCTCCTCTTAGTATGTGCTCCCCCGAGTGTGTGCTCCTCTGAGTGTGCGCTCCCCCGAGTGTGCGCTCCTCTGAGTGTGCACTCCCCTGAGTGTGCACTCCCCTGAGTGTGCGCTCCCCCTAGTGGGCGCTCCCCCAAGCGCGCACTCCCCCGAGTGTGCGCTCCCCTGAGTGTGCACTCCTCTGAGTGTGCACCCCTCTGAGGTTGTGCTCCAAGTGCATGCTCCCGAGTGCACGTTCATCTGAGCATGCACTCCCGAGTGTGCACTGCCCTGATTGCATGCTCCCCTGAGTGTGAGCTCCTCTGAGTGTGCACTCGTCTGAGTGTGCTCCTCTGAGTGTGGTCTCCTCTGAGTGTGCGCTCCCCTGAGTGTGCACTCGTCTGAATGTGAGCTTCTATGAGTGTGCGCTCCTCTGAGTGTAAGCTTCTCTGAGTGTGCACTCGTCTGTGTGAGCTCCTCTGAGTGTGCGCACGTCTGAGTGTGTGCTCCTCTGTGTGTGCGCTCACCTCAGTGTGCGCTCCTGAGTGTGCACTCGTCTGTGTGAGCTCCTCTGAGTGTGCGGTCATCTGAGTGCACGCTCCCCTGAGTGCACGCTTGTCTGAGTGCACGTTCGTCTTAGTGCGTGTTCCCCTGAGTGTGCGCTCCCCAGAGTGTGAACTCCTCTGAGTGTGCATTTGTCTGAGTGTGCGCTACTCTGAGTGTGATCTCTTCTGAGTGTGTGCTCATCTGAGTGCATGCTCCCCCGAGTGCACGTTCGTCTGAGTGTGTGCTCCCCTGAGTGCACACTCACCTGAGTGCGCGCTCCCCTGAGTGTGGTTATTTGAAAGTTCATTCAAAAAAAGCAAACTCCCATGAAGAAAAGCCACAATGAAACTATTCTCAGCTCTTCTACTGAGGTGAGACTGACATCTGCTGGCCTCCTTCTCCTGTGCAGACACTCTCTGGAAAGAATATACTTTTGCAAGATTCTAATCCTATTTATGCAAATGTATCTAGAATTATAGTTATTTGAAAAGAAATGCCAGAGTGCATTTATACAGGAGAGGTACTAAGAGCAAGATACAATAATATTTCAGTTACAATAATATTTCAGTTATACGTTTGGAGACCAGGAGGAAGGCAGTGTGATGTGGTGCTAAAGAGCAGATGCTCTGGTCCCTAACTGGCTGCAGGTTCAAATCCAAGTTCTACAACTCACATTTAGGGTTGGGATTGAGGAAATCACAGGTCAACAATAAATACTTTTCTCTTTCTCTCTCTCTCTCTCCTCTCTCTCTCTCCCTCTCTCTCTCTCTCTCACACACACACACAATGATTCAAAGATTCTTTAAGAAATTTGTTTCAAATTTTCATCATCATTTATAAAGCTCTTTAATTGTTAGTGATAATTATGTGTTTATAGAAATTAAGGTGACTGACAATATAAGAGAAAATGAAAAAGAGAAACCAAAAATAAAGAAAATAAAGGGAGAGACAAAAAGACGAAGATAGAGTCAGAGGTAGATATGGGAAAAAAGGCGAAATGTGAAGTGGCAGATCCAGGCATAAAGAAACAAACGCCTAAGAAGACAGAGACAGAGAAATCTTGAGTAAGGAAGCCACCCAGAAGATCGTTCACTTCCCTCAAACTAAAACTACTCGATAAAGTAGAGGAAAAATGATCCAAGAGTATTTAAGCTGTTTGTCGGCTGACATATCTCATTTAGCTGGTTGGTCTCCTAAGCTGCCAATTTTCTCCTTGTGACTCTGTGGTAAGAAAGATTGTGCACAGTTCCTGTGGCTCCTCCATGAGGCAGCAGAACTCTCTCTGTAATATTCTCTGTAATGAAAAGCACATTTCTGAGGCAACACTAAGAAGTCAAGAGTTTCATTTAAAAGGGAGTTTCTTAAAGTAGGAAGTCCCTTTGGATGTGTGCAGCAGTATCATAGCGCCTGGAATTTTGGAGTTAGCACTGAACACTTCATTTTCTTATAATCTGTTTAATAACACTGGGGTGATTATACTTGGGGAAGCAGGAGGGGTGAGATGTAAATGCAGCCAAGGCATGTATATGATGTCTAGGTGGCTCCACCTCAATGAACCCCAGGACAGCAGTTGAGGAAGTGTAACATATTCAACTGAAATTGAAAATAAACCAGAATTAATCTAGATATGCTGAAAACTAGAATGAAATATGCTTCCTCTGCTATAATTTTTCTGCCTTTTGTTTGCAGTAGAAATCAGATTTACCCTCTCTGAATCTCTGATTCATTATCCATAATATACGGACACCAACAACCTACCCTATTTACCCTGAAGGATTATGAACATCAAATGAAATAATGTATGTGAAAACACTGAAAAATTTTCCAGTACTAAAAAATTATGGAATCATAAAAAAAAAAAAAATTCTTTCTGGATAGGTGGTGAAGTAAACAGCCTTGGAGAATAGAAAGATGTGAAGCAAAAGCCATCTCCAAGCAGAAAAACCACTCCTGACAGGACCATGCCTTCACACTGGGCATTTGGGTGAAAGCTCTCAGAAGCCATGATATAGAGGCTTAAGCACTGGGTTAGCCAATGGGAATATTAGGCACACAAAAGTTCCGTCTCTCACTCTGAGGGTTGATTTAAACAGATGTTCTATCCATTCCTCATTTGAACAAGCTGTTATCAAGTTGGTTTCAAATTACCAAGGAAGAAAAACTGAATATGCCCTTCCATCCCTCGAATTGTGGATTAGAAGTGGCTATATAGGTGCTGCTGGAGAAGGACCAAATGAAGCTTCTCCTATGAGCAGGTTCCAACCTTGGTCTTAGTTGTCACTCACCAACCCTTGGTTTTGTCTGTGTGACTCACAGAATGAGGATCCTGGGCAGGGATGCATTTTTTCCCAGGTCCCAGGCACCCCTGGCTCTCAAGTGAACATTTGATCCCAAAAAGTCAAACAGTGACCACACAGAGGAAATGAATCACAGTCATGTCATCACTTACATGCTTTTCCTGTTATTTGAGATAATTATGCTCTGTCACATGACTGAGTGAGTTCTTTAAAATTTAAAACTTTGAAAACCACATAGAATTAATTATTAATATTGTCTTAGAAACAATCTCCTAATTGTGCCTAAAAAACAAGTAGTTGGACAAAAAGACTCAGAAAAGTTCTTTCCAGAATGGTAATGTTGATTTGTTTTTATTTCCCTAGTTATATGAAAGGTGGATGTAATCATGATTTTGTGACCTTGGCAGAAAAGTCCAAATAGAAAGCACATACCCCCAGGGTAGGCAAAAAGAAACGATCATAACTGCAATTTATATTTATTTTTTACCTAATATTTTTAACAATTACAACATATATTTATGAAGTGCATAATGCCAAAATGCACTTAAACAATTTAAATATTTACATGATACATATAAATTTTCATTAATATCAGTGCCCTATGCCCAAAAAACTTTGCGGAACATGGAAATACAGTTGTTGGGAACAGGCCCCCTAAGATCTGGCCATAAACTGGCCCCAAAAATGGCCATAAACAAAATCTCTGCAGCACTGTGACATGCTCATGATGGCCATAATGCCCACGCTGAAAGGTTGTGGGTTTACCAGAATGAGGGGAAGGAACACCTGGCCCATCCAGGGCGGAAAACTGCTTAAAGGCCTTCTTAAACCACAAACAATAGCATGAGCGATCTGTGCCTTAAGGACATGCTCCTGCTACAAATAACTAGCCCAACCCATCCCTTTATTTCCACCCATCCCTTAGTTTCCCATAAGGGATACTTTTAGTTAATCTAACATCTATAGAAACAAAGCTAATGACTGACTTGTTGTTACTAAATACCTTGGTAAATCTCTGTTCAGTGCTCTCAGTTCTGAAGGCTTTGAGACCCCTGATTTCCCAGTTCACACCTCTATATTTCTGTGTGTGTGTCTTTAATTCCTCTAGTGCCACTCAGTTAAGGTCTCCCGGACAGAGCTGGTCTTGGCATACAATGAAGTATATTCTGCCATGTAAAAAAAAGTCACATGTTGCCTGGTAGTTTGGGTGATACTAAAGGCTTGGTTCTGTCACAAGCTAACATGTGTCATAGGTTAATATTAAAATCCTTGAAGTTTTATCCTAAGAGCCACCAGTAAAATAGTGAAAATTCATTAATGTAATCAATTACAACTGATATAGTTTGGATGTCAGTCCCTCCAAATTTCATTGAAATGTGACCCCCAGTGTTGGAGGCGGGCTGGTTAGGAAGTGTTTGGGTCATGAGAGTAGAGCCCTCAGGAATCCCCTGTGGAACTGAGTGAGTTCTTGATCTATTAGTTCATGTGAGAGCTGGTTGTTTAAAGAGCCTGGTGCCTCCCTCCCCTCTCTCTTGCTTCCTTTTCCAACATGTGACATCCCTGCCTTCCCTTCACCTTCCACCATGACTGGAAGCTTCCAGGGGCCTCTGCAGAAGCCAAGCAGTTGCTGGTGCTATGCTTATACAGCTTGCAGAACTGTGAGCCAAACAACCCTCTTTTCTTTTTCAATTGCCCAACCTCAGGTATTCCTGTATAATAATAAGGCACAACAGACTAATACGTTAACTAAAACAGAACTAACGGAGCCCGGTCTAGTGGCATTACGGATATCATTGTATAACACACATGTAAACTACACACAAAGCCAGGAAAATCCTAGTGTCAATCATAGGAATTACCTTTATATTTCTCGATAGAAGTGTGTCATAATGTTGTAGCCACGTAAAGCTAACTGGGAATTGAGTTTTTCTTCAATACAAAGTCTGGGAAATTAAACTTGATCTTCAAAATGGCAGTTAAGGGCATAAGAAGCTAACATGGCAACCACATCCTTGTCAAAAAAGTGCAGCCCTTTATATTGACCTAATCTGACAAATGTGAAGAATTACAGACAGAAAAGGTGGTACACCACTGGCTTAAACATAACAGCAAGGAGCCATCTATGCCTGTTATGTGTGTAACTTACTGTGATTACGTGATTCACTTTCCGGAATGAGGCACGCTTCGAAGTTGACTCATCGGCAAAATCAGGTGAGCTGGGTTCTAAGACAGTGCTTTCCTAGGAGACAAAAATTATCTTATCAAGTTCCTCTTATTTTATTATGTCTGGCCTTGAATTTTAAATAAATAGAAATGATCCACATGGTCTTCCATTCACCTCATTCTGAAAGAATCCAACCTCCAAAGCTGTGGAGATATTGACTTCCTCCTGATTCAATGAATAAAATTAGGATGACAGAATCCCCTGGGCATGATTTGCTCTGTAAAGTGCTGCTAAACAAGGCCGTAAATTCCACTCCTCAGCTACTGCCAAGGACCAAAGCGAACAGAAAACGCAATTCAGAGGTCAACTGCAAGAGGTTTTCAAAATTGTTCATTTATTAATACACAACTGATTAATACAAGGACATGGACAATAGGTTATTGCTACTTATCAACCTAATTGCCTAACACTCTTACTTACCCTGATTTGTGGTTGACAAAAAAGTAGATCCTTTATTGGTCTCAGTGAGTCCTCAGCTTGCTTTCTTCCCTACATTCTGCCCCTCACTTTGATAAACCATGTCTACTCATTACCTTGGTAATCATTATGATACTCATGTAACCAATTTTGTTTATCTGGCTTTCCTTAATGTTCATATTTTTATGGATGAATTGATTGATTTGTCGATTTTAATGGGGAGACTTAGTGTTATGCTTGTATCCAGATGAATTCAGACTGATGAGTAAAGTGGTCACGTGAGTATCATAATGATTACCAAGGTCAATAACTCCCAATCCAGCATCCTTATCAATACCACACTGTACATGTCTTACAAAAAGGATTAAAAATATCATGCAGGTGTAATTGCCAGGAATTACTGTAAATCAGTGGTCCCCAACCTTTTTGCCACCAGGAACCAGTTTCGTGGAAGATCATTTTTCCATTGACCAGGGGTGGCAGTTGGGGGTTGGTTTCAGGAATAAACTGTTCCACCTCAGACCATCAGGCATTAGGACATTAGATTCTCATAAGGAGCAGGCAAACTAGATCCCTCGCAAGCACAATTCACAATAGGGTTTGGGCTCCTGTGAGAATCTAATGCCGCAGCTGATGTGACAGAAGGCAGAGCACAGGTGGTAATGCTCACTCTCCTGCCGCTCACCTCCTGATGCACAACCTGGTTCCTAACAGGCCACAGACCAGTACCAGTCTGAGGCCCAGGGGCTGGGTACCCCTGCTCTAGATGATGCCTGCTGGAGTCTCTACCTAGCCCATAATCCTTATTCTCTGAAATTTGGGTTTCATGTTTATACTCTGTCATCCAGACTCGGCCTCCACCACAGCTGACTGGACAAGCAGGGATCACCTGACCATGAACTCACCTGACCATGGGATGGCCTGACCCCCGGGGAATCATCTGGCCAGTGAAAATCACCTAAGTAACAAGGATCACCTGTTCTCTGAAATCCAAAAGTTAAAAGCATATGAAAAAATGCCTAACAACCCTAATCATCAGATAAATGCAAATTAAAACCACAATGACGTATTATCTTATACCAGTCAGAATAGCTATTATTAAAAAGTAAAAAATAATGGATGTTGGTGAGGATAGGGATAAAAAAGAATGTTTATACACTGTTGATGAGAATGTAAATTAGTACAACCTCTATGGAGAACAGTTTGGAGATTTCTCAAAGAGCTAAACATAGAACTACCACTCAACCCGGCAATCCGACTACTGGGATTTACTGGTATCTACCCAAAATAAAGAAACCAGTCAAAAAGACACCTGCACTCATAGTTTAATCACAGCACTATTCACAATAGCAAAGTTATGGAATCAACCTAAGTATCCATCAACGGATGAATGGATAAAGAAAACATGGTATATATACAGCATGGAAGACTAGGCAGCCATAAAAAAGAATGAAATCATGTCTTTTGCAACAACGTGGAGAAACTGGAGGCCATTATCTAAAGTAAAACAACTCAGAAACAGAAAGTCAAATAGAGCATGTTCTCACTTATAAGTGGAAGCTAAATAATGTGTACACAGGAACATAGTGCGGAGTAATAGACATTAAAGACTCAAACAGTAGGATGGTGGGAGGGGGTACAGAATGAGAAATTACTTAATAGATACAATGCATGTTATTCAGGTGATATGCATGCTAAAAGCCCAAATTTCACCACAATGCAATATATCCATGTAATAAAACTGCAATTGTACTTCTTAAAATTTATGCAAATAAAAAACCAAAAACAAAAGCAAACAAAAAAAACTTTATACAGAGATAGTTCTGTAAAATCAGGGAAAACTGCAATTGTATTCCTCTAATAAAGTCAGTCTAATAAAGTTTTCCTCTTTGTTTTGAGATTTTTAGGATTTTAAAAAATTTAATTCCAAATAAATAAATAAATACATTAATAACACAAAAGGAAAATTAGCAGTCAAAAATTCAATTCTACATATTTATTTGATATGGGCACCATTGGCATTTATACCCATTCTTTTGCTTTGGTTGTTAATGCTCTTTAAAGTTAACATTTTTGATTTTTGAACAACAAAATATATAACAGAAAAAAATTTAGACTTGGTCTGCTATTTTATTCCATTTATGATTCTGATACATTACACTAAATCTAGTTTAAAACTAAAAAATACAAAGATCCCCCAGGAAAAAGTCTTAACTTTTTCTAATTTCAGTGTTTGAAATGGTTTGACAGGTAACTGTGATCCATATTTTAATACCCATGCGTAGTAAAAAAAGGTTTTGTTTTATATTTTTTGTTGTTACTTTTATCTTTATAAAGATGAAAAATAAAATAAAATTATACAACAATTGTTAAATAAACCAGCGTTCTCAAAGGGCAGATGCACACACCTCAGGGATATGCAATCCCCAAAAGAGATTCATTGTAGTGTAGGAAAGAAATATTCGAATTTCAGTCTATCATAGCCTTTTATATTTCAATTTTTCTATAAGTGTATCTTATAATTGCCACAATGTATTAGTGCAATATTAGGTATATAATTTATTTTTTTAAATAGACATACATATATTGGGTCTGCAAGCTCAAAAATGTTCCGAGTGCCCTTTTGAAAAGCTTAGGAACCACTGAAAGTCAAGAGTGCCACTTTTTCTTGCCAGCCTTTTTCAATCCTAGAACACAGCACCATCTGGTGGTACCCTGAGATAATGCATGCATGATGTTTGAGACGTTTCTATAAGAAAAATACTGTTGTCATTCAGATAACAAGACAAATCAATAATAACCATTCTAAATTAGTAATACACCATTTTAACTAAATCAAGAGCAACTATGAAAATAGTATTTCTATTGTTTCCTACTACTGCTTCTAGGCTCTTCGGCCTTTTTTCCTGAGCACACCAGCTCATTAGCTGCACCCTTCTCCATACTTCATAGGTACCCCGCTTAAAGCACTTGTCCCGCAGACTTACAGTGATGTGCTTACATGTCATTCTCTTTCTATTAATTATAAAGAAACACTGTCTAGTAAAAAGATGATATGACCCACAAATGCAAGTAACACACATAACTTTCAATTTTCTAGTAGCCACACTTTAAAAAATAATAAGAAATAGATAAGATGTATCTTAGTTTATTGTATATAATCTTAATTGTATATTGTGTATTATCTTAATACATTATATAATATATACACATATATAAGACTTATCTTAATATATTGTATATAATCTAATGTATCTAAAACATCATTTTGATATATAATATATGAAACATTAATAATGAAATAGTTACTTTTTTGTAAGAGGTCTTCACAATTCAAAGTGAGTTTTATATCTATAGCATGTCTCAACTGGGACTTGCCACATTTCCAGTGCACAATGGCTATGTGTGTCTAGTGGTCGCTGAATTGGACAGTGCAGTTCTAAAGGCAAGGTCTAGTATCTTCTTGCACTTAGTGAATGTTCAGTAAATGGTGCCAAACTCCTGACCTCGTGATCCACCTGCCTCAGCCTCCCAAAGTGCTGGGATTACAGGTGTGAGCCACCATGTCTGGCATTTACTTGGTATCTTTTATGGTTAGTACATGGGAATAAAAGTAAGGCAATCCTCCTTTAGAACTCTGAGTATTAAATCTATGACATCGACACAGAATAGGTAAGATTGGCGATTGGCAGAAATAATCTAGACACAGTGGTCAGGGCCAACATGTGTCGATGTGCAGGCTGGGTACTATGTAACCTTACACAGTCCCAGTCAGGTGCACAACCTACAGACCACAACTGGCAGCCTTGAGAGTGATTTTCTCTCAGGTCACGGAAGGAAGATAAACCCTGGAAATCAAATCTAGGCTCTACCGAGTATAAACAAAAGCTGAATATTATCAAGACTGCTGAGACGTCTGAAAGAAGAATGTGTGGCTGAAGGAGATGGGCCTCAAATCCAATCCTGCCTTCATGACTAGAAGGTAAATGCCATTTTTTACCAAGACCAGGCTCACATTCTTTTGATCCCCTGTATTTTGCCCAATAGGCTCTGCAGTTCATGACCTGCAGTCAATGTTCAATGATTTATTTTCTCTACTGGTGCTTTGCAAGAGGCAAATTTTATTTGGGCAAACAATAATCACAAAATAAATACAAGGATCCCCTTTCACTTATAAAGTACTGGAAAAATATCAGAAAACTGCTATTAAAACACTCAGTTGGCATGGGGTTGGAGCTCCATGTCCACATTTTAAACGTGAATGGCTCTTAAGAAAGACAGTTTTACCCAGTTTGGCCTGATAAGTAATTTAAAGTAATCTGAAGTGCTTCTGAGGAAATTTCCTTCTAAAGAGAGAGAGAAAAAAAACAGAAGTTACAAGTTATGATACAGATTTAAGTAACCATGTAATACAATTCAGAGTGTTAAAAGGCATATCTTCTCTACCATACCTCTGGCTGTTTGCCTTTTCCTGGTATGGCAGGCGTTTTTGTTGCATTTTCCTTGAACTGCCTGTCAGTGAGAACCCCCTGAGAATATAGGAAAATTTTATCACACCTTTCCTCCAACTCATACTTGGCTTCAGAATGAAAAAAAAG